AATATATATTTACTAATAATTTATCAATTTATGAACGATGAAATATTTGTTTTTATTTTGAACGTTTCATGTTATTCTCTGCATTGTTCATATGTGTGATTATGCTCTTTGTTCAAAGATACGAAAATATAGAAAAACACCTCTTGATAAAAAGGCCCATCAACATGGGCATGTAATTGTGAAGTGAAGTTAATATGCTCCAGCCACAGGGGCTTGTATTTCTGAAAATAATACGTCCTGGGTCCCACAGGGGCTTGTGTTGCTGTATATGGATATGGATATCAGTGAACGAATGTAGGACCCAGTACGTATTATTTTCAGCAATACAAACCCCTGTGGCATGATCGACGGACTCGAGGTCGAACTAACCATTTCAGCGATTAGACACCAGGTCTTCGTCATCTAGATCCGTGAAGATCCGGGTTAGAATATTGATCTTCAGTAACCCATGCTTGTCGTAAGAAGCGACTAACGGGATTGAGTGTTCAGGCTCGCTGACTTGGATGACAAATGTCATCGCTTCCCATTTGATGCTCATGCTGTTGATCAGTGAATTGTCTGGTTCGATTATTTACAGACCGCCGCCATATAGCTGGAATATTGCCGAGTGCGGCGTTAAAACTAAACTCACTCACTCACTCCCTCGTGATCTAACCCATGCTTAGTACTATATTCGGTATTTTAATAATGCCAGTCAATGATTCATTTATACCTACGCGTAGGAGCGACTTCAGTTTCCGTAACTTATAATCACTCGACAATATTACGAACCATGGTATATTTCGTTTTCTATCAACTTGAAGGCTTTTATTGCCACATTAGATGTTTGTCATTCTCAATCATTTGATCTCGACGTGAGCAATCCGCTCACTGCGACTCATGACATATGTTTCAAATTTGACTCCAAACATAAACCTTATCCTACTTGTCATATGCATTGTGTTTCCAGGTAGTATGAACATGTGTAGTCCAGTCACAACAACTGTAAACGGGTCGGTGTACCTCCATTCTCCCGGCTTCCCTGACAGTTTCGGTGTGAACAGCAGCTGTGTTGTTAGGATCACAGGGCAGACTTTACAAGTAACCTTGGTGGAACAGCGGATGAGGTCAGGGATGCTTAACATCTCAGGTGACGGGGAGACAACTCTGGACAAACGTGAACGTGAACCAGTACAACAGGGTATTACCGGGACCAGCTGGAGAAATAGTTATAGTCTATGATAACCATGATCAGGATGCATTAAATCTGTGGATACGAGTTGCTGGTGTGTATTAATCAAACTATCTTTTGGCGCGTCCCATATGATAACTTTTAGTCGATATCTTTATATTTAGCTAACTAATAAACTAACCAGCTATGCGAGCTGATGCCTTTCTAACTAGTTTACTGTAATCACTATAGTTGTTATTGTAACCGATTCTTCAGTTCAGTACATAAATGACATGACATATAGCCCTATATTACGCTAGAAATGTCTTAAAGATAACATATAACTCGGACCAAGAGACTGCTGTAACAATAACTTGCTCATAGATTCAGGTCAAATGAACATAATGATCACCAGTGAAATACTGGATGCATCAAGCACACCCACGTCAACAAATCAGCCGCCTCGTTCACAGAGTACATCCGGTCCAAAGTACCTCGGACACACCAACAACTGAAACAGCGGCAAGTTCACAGTCTACAGCTATTGGTGAGTGTATACTGACGTTGTATGGCCTTAATTATACGTCAAGCGTTTTCAGCCGCTTAGCTTACATGAGATTTTTACCGCCATACATTGTACTTGGATTAGTAGTGTGTTTCTTCTGTATGAGTATGAACATTATTGATGTGCACAATACTTTAAACAATTGTGGTCGAACGCTATTTCGGTATCTTTTCATTCCATAGCAACAACAATGCTTTTGAATTAGGTTTAATTATGTATTTACAACTTTTCGCGCAGGGATGTACCGGTTATTTGTTACATTTGACAAATGTCCACGAAAAGATACATAAATGAAAACAAATCTAGCATGTACGGTGCACAGTGCGTACACACTATTTTCGTCTATCACACAGTCGCTATGTGGTATTTCAGTAATTTAAAGTCGACACAATGTCTACCTTAATCGAGAACTACATCAGATCAGAGTTTTAGTACCACCATCAGAACTACATGACTGTTGTAGCCAAAATGTCTGCTCCACGTCCCTATCAAAATAAGGTTTAGTTGCAATACTTTCAGTGGTTTTCTTCCAGAAATACTCACGAGACAGGCCAAAAGCTAAATGACCGTCACATGTAAGGTTTTTAGATAATATAAGTGGGAAAACACAATCCATTCTGACCACAAACTACTTATATTTTCATCATATATCTCCCTGTGTATCCCGCCTAGGTATAATTTTCAGTCTTCTTAACCATTGCTGAGAGTTGAATATTACAACCACTGACTCTGCTGCCATTACCACTGCTATGAGATTCTATACTGTCCATGTAGTTGTACTGTTTTTCTTTACTGTACTGGCATTGTAGTAGTTTGTGTTGATTTGTAAAACTAGACACTGTTCTACTACAAATATTAATTATGTAACATTCCTGTGTTGTTTGTTGGTTCAGACTGCTTCATGTGCATTCATTGCGTGCAATCTTTTTATTTTAAAATATAGGACTCAAAAACTAGTATGGAACGAATACAGAGAAAAACTCAAAGGGATTGTATAATCAACGGTTGCCATAACACTCAAAAAAAATTAGTAGCAATTATAACAGCTATAAAGGCAAAGGCTCACGAATGAATTCACCTTTGGGGGCGATGATACCATCGAGTGAAAATGATTTATTGACCAGTTGTGAAGGTCATATTCTAATAATTCGTAGAATACTTAGAATCTAAGGGTATTATCAAAGAACGTAGAGAATGGAGAGGTTTTGTTAACCCAAATCGCACCAACTGTAGACAAGGTTAGCCATCGGAAAGTTCAACTTATTTTTACGATGTGACCTTCCGCCACAATATCTAACTCCTGAAAGATTCTGATACTATATAACAACAAAATCAGATGGTCTTATCAACAGTAATATAATACCGAAAATTGTGATGTACGGGTGGAATGATTGATTAAAAGTTTTACATAACCATAAATCAACTAAATAGTTTACATTAATTTATGTCGTTTGAACCTTTCACAAAGCCTCATCACAGTAAGAAGACACCATATGTCAACATATGTCTTTTGATATATTCATATTGTAAACCTCTCCGAAACATATTCCAAGGAATTGTCATTCAACAGTACATTCCGTCTCAAAGGAAAAGTAGTGCTAAAATCCAAATAGGATACAATTCGACAGCCTCTTTCTCCCGACAGACTAATCAACAATGACAGAAACAATGACAGGTAATCCAACAACAAACACAACCACGACAGTGACTACTCCAACGTCTGCTACAGGTGAATAAATACACAACATATCAACAAGATAAAACTGCACGAACAATTCATTTAGAGATCACATTCAATGGACCGTGCAAGCAATATTTCCTCTTTAAATGTACTATCTTAGCCATTCAATTAGTGTGATTTCACATTAATGTAATCTACATTAAGGAATGACCAACTGATATTCTGTGGCACCCGTCAAACACATATGCGAACACAACTGTTCACCTGGATGTCCAATATCAATAGAAAATAACACGAAATCTATCTATTTACTACCATATAACCTTATTACATGGTGTGATATATCTTTTGTGTTTTTGTTTTAAAAATAGAGTGTCGAAATGTATGTAATTGTCAGTTTTATTTCTTTTCAGTAATCACTACAAATATGACTACAAAGGATGGCGAAGCATCTTCCACAATAACGTCCAGCTCTGAACCGGGTAAAGTACCCCAGCACTACAACGACATTTCACTTGTCCAATTCAACTAATTCTCTATTTAACAAAAACAAACATGTCATGAGCGGTATACAGTACATAAGTCATTACTGCTCAAGAAGTAATACAAGTTGTTCAAACCTTTCTGACGTAGGAAACGATAATAGAGCATTGTTGAAAATGTTATTGCATATATTTCGTAGATTAACGTTTTGTACCGTCGTACAGCCATCGCCAACGCACTGACAATGTATCGTACTCACCTTATTTTTAACAGGACTGATAGTGTGGGTTGCTTCTGCTGTCTCTGGCTGTCTTGTCACAATCTTGATTGTCGTGATTGCAGTTGTCCTTTGCAGGTAATGTTAAGATTTTCTTTTCTATTATTGTAACATGGTGAGTATTTATTAAAATTGATGTTTTCAATAAGACTTGACAAACATATTGCATAGTCTATCTTCACCTATAACATGTTTAACTTTTCTGAAAATATATTCATCTTAGACTTTAATACTGTCGAATCCCGTTATCTCGACCAATCGGGATCATGTTGGAGTTTCAGGTATCCAGGCACTCGAGATAACGCCTCATGTACAATAAGTCAGATAATATAACAATGTAATGAATACTTATGGATCTGTTCATAATTATGAACAAACATGATTTAATCGCAACATGGGAAATAAAAGTGTGTTTATATAATGAGCTGGTCTTGACTAGAGAATCGGGTGCAAATATCGATACAGTCGAGATAACCGGATTCGAGGATAATGAGGGTCGGCTGTATTACAACTTATAGTTAAATAATTGTTTTATTTTATTCAAGGAAACACGTGAAGAAGAGCCGTCCCCTTGAACTCCTGGTAAAGGTCATTTTGAACTCGGTTCCATGAATACGGAAAAGCATCACAATGGCTTTGGACAAAATGGAAACCTGTCACCAGTATTTAGTGCTCGATCCAGAATTTGTAGAAGGAGGTAGACAATCCTTAAAAACAGAACCTGGACACCAAACTGAGACCTCTGGAAAAATGAGCAGGATCAGTACGCTAAAAAGCGTTGCCTTTGGGTTTTACAGTAGATATGTACGACAAAAAATACATTTACAGTCACCAATAGCGAAGCCGCCAACGGAGCCCCACATATCATAAGAGGCCCTAATAGCCGCACGGGAATATGTGGTATGACTGAAAATGATTTATATGAGGGAGGTTTTGATGATCCTCGAGGGGGAATGGTTGACAATGTTGTCTATGATAAATTCGACATTGAAAGAGAGAACGAATCTGTGCAGGACGATTCCGACACTTCTCCTAACCACAGTAAACAGGTTTGGAAAAATAAGTGTGAAATGATAGAAAACCACGTCTACTACAGAGGGTCTCCTTGTGCTGCCAAAGACAATCCTGTTGGTGATTCGTATGATGAAGGACTGGAAACTAGCGAGGGAATGGTTGACAATGGACTCTATGATAAATTCGAGTTTGACAGAGAGAAGGAATCTCCACAGGACGAATCCGATGCTTCTCCAAACAATAATAAATCGTCTTCTGAAGAGAGGTGTGAAATGATAGAAAACGACGTCTACGACGGAGGGCCTCATCTCTGATGACCCTGTTGGCAGCATGGCTGACAACAGCAATCCTGTTGGTGATTTGTATGATGGAGGGCTGGAAACTAGCGAGGAAATGGTTGGCAATGGGCTCTGTAATAAATTCGAGTACGACAGAGAGAATGAATGTCTACAGGACGAATACGACACTTCTGTTAACAAAAGTAAACAGGCTTGGAAAGATGATTGTGATATGGTAGAAAACGACGTCTACGAACGGGGGCCTCCTTGATGACCCCGTTGTTGGCAGCGTGGCTGACAACGACAATCCTGTTGGTCTTTTTTATGATGGAAGACTGGAAACTAGCGAGAGAATGGTTCACAATGGACTCTATTATAAATTGAGTATGACAGAGAAAAGGATTCTGTGCAGGACGAATCGGACATTTCTCCCAGCAACGTTCACGATGACGAGGATAGAGTCATAGTGTCCAATGGTCTCTACCATAGTTTCATTTTAGCTTTTGAAACAGGAGATGACGTATCCCGAGTATGTTTGCGAATATTCAACAGCAAGTGATGATCATAATGATGGTATTTTATTGTGGATACTGTAAGAAGACGATGACGCAAATCTGAAACCTAGAACAAAATAAACTATCACGGATTTACGTCATGCCATCAGTGGGTGCAGAAATTGTCTTGTCCATAGTAAATGAAAATAAACTATCTAAATCTACTTTCCAGACAATCAAGATATTGACAAATTCATTTTATCTTAGTAAACAGTACAGTAGTCTTCAACAATCACTGATCAATTGACATACATATGTGTACATGTATAATCATGTTTTAATGCTTAAATCTTTGCAGAATAAGCAGCACATTGACACTCTCATTGAATAACACTGAATGAAAGGTCAATACCCATTCTATTGGTGTAATTATAACCTAACCAAGTTTAAGATTGTTTCGAACATCACCTTTATAATAAAAAGTAAACCTACATGCTCGTCACGATGGTACACATTTGTAAATGCCCGTTACCTCATTTCAACGAATGCCATTCTGACTGACTAGAGCCATTTTGGTATAATTGTATCAATGTATGTTAATTTTGGCCACTTTGACTGGTAATGCATTTAACAGGATATCTCACGAGACTACACGACGGTAAAAGTTGTAGTAAACTTATTCTTCAAAACGTCGGGCTCTTTTATATTTGGAAATCTCAAATATTTCCCCACCATTCGCTAGTGTGAAACATAACGTAATTATTTCCTTGACCAGTGAGAACTCCTAATCATAGATTACCTGAAACGGGAATTACTGAAATGGGAAGATGGTTTAATATTAATCTGAAAAACTGAACATGTACAATTTGTAAGAATAAGTTCATTTGTGACGAGTTTCGCGTTATCTTATCATGTACACTTCTTAATGTTGAACGTAAGAAGATACTTCCCCCTTATTTTTGTAATAATCAACATATAGACAAATCTATCTCACTTAGATTATACCCCACTCATGTTTAAACTATCACTGTTTACTAAAACTGTTCTTAGTCTCTTCTAGACCAATATTTCCACTTATGTGTTATTGTATTATAAACGATTGTTTGGTCTCTATGTCATTTTGTATGAGTTATTCTGTTCTGTTCTAGTAACGAACGAAATATGAACCTATGAAGTCGTAGGTTCCTGGTGTATGTGCACAATCAAGCTGTTGCTAATGCTGCTGCCACATACAATGGGAAACGACATTAATGTGAATGATTGCCTTGTTTATATTGTTTCTTCAATCATTTAATTACCTCTTTCTTTTAATTTTTTAAGACTGCAGGTTAATATGCATCATTAACATGACTGTGCTGCTTATGCACATGGATGGAAATATACCTTATTTTTACCATCAATTTGTACAAATATTTTTAGATAGTCAACATTAAAACATTTATGTAATTCTTATTATTGTTACTCACTCATTTATTTTTTTAATTTCACTCTAAATTTGCTGAATTAAATCAAAATGAGTTGAATTTTTGTTTCATGATAATCATAAGTATACACTCATGCCTTAACAACCTCAAAACATGTATTTTGAGTAAGAAGTAAATATTCTCGCCCATGGGCCAACATATTTTCAGCCATGGGCGAGATTTTTAATATCGTTCTCAGAAAGTCGAATTAAGTCAGAATGAGCTGAAATTTGTGTCATGATGCTTATAAATATACACTCATTCATTTATAACCTCCAAAACATGAATTCTGAGCGAAATCAAACATTCTCGCCCATGGGCCAACATATTTTTCGCCCATAGGCGAGATTTTTTAATATCACTCCTAAATTTGCTGAATTAAGTCAAAATGAGTTGAATTTTGTTTCATGATAATCATAAGTATACACTCATGCCTTAACAACCTCAAAAACATGCAAAAACATGTATTTTGAGTAAAAGTAAATATCCTCGCCCATGGGCCAACATATTTTTTCAGCCATGGGCGAGGGTTTTTTTAATATCGTTTTAAGTTAGTCGAATTAAGTCAGACTGAGTTGAAATTTGTGTCATGATGCTTATAAATATACACTCATTCATTTACAACCTCCAAAACATGAATTCTGAGCAAACTTAAACATTCTCGCCCATGGGCCCATGGGCGCGAGCGAGTGTAAATTTAAAGATTTGAATTTTCTGTTTTCATTTTTGTCATCCTTGGCATATGTTCATAACCCAATCCTAAAATATTTCTCTATTTACTAGATCTCAATAAAAAGCTTTAAATGGACATTTATATATATTTCTAAACGTCTGAGTAAAACGTACTCGTTGAATGCTCATTCTATTGAACTGATACTAAACATCACCAGTTCAAAAGGTTATGAAAGGACTCATAAAGCCAAGACACTGTATATGTACAATGTATACAGCCTATCCTTATAGAATAAAAAAAGAACGTGTATCCTGTTGTCATAATAACCATACATCCAAGGCAAGACGCCAAAGATACTGATCTAAACATTGCCATAGCGATAATGACGTTTCATTATAGGCTAACTGGGGTATTTCAATATTTCAATATTTGGAATTCAATATATTTGTGCAGCGAAGTGCAACACAGAAAGAAGGAGCTACAAATGTCAGTTCAATCTGAAACCCCAAATGACAGTATTACAAATGATACCAACACTTATTCGAATCTAATTCGGCATCATCTACGGAAGAATACAGCAACGAGATAGTGAGGGAAATGACAATGGCGGGAGACTGACATATGCACACACTTCTGGCAGTGAAGATCTGGAATGTAGTGCTAGCACTGATACTGAAGGCTGACCATCCTGATTAACAGCAGTGATGATGGGGAAGATAGCTGCAGTAACACTGGTAGAGGCTGAGCGTTACATTTCAACAGAACTGTTAAGGAAGACGCGTAGCTTGGCGATGACAGAACACTTACAAGTTTATCAACAAATTTTGAGCCTAAAATACTTCTGATATGTTCATGATAAAAATAACTGTATGATATTGAAAAATGCTTTATATCATTCACATAAACGTAATATTGACATGCACATATTTTCTGGTCACGTCATGTACCCCTATTAAAACGGCAGAAATGAATAAGTGTGAGTACAGAACAGTCATAGCGCTTTTGGTCCTCGTGGGTAAGCCGGCGAAGCACATTGAAGCACACTGAAGAGTGACTGACAGCAGTACTCGTACCCCATGGGACACAGTACTCGTACACATTCTTATTATGTACAATATGCTTCAGGATATGTACTATGTAATATATACATGATTTGTGTCAAAAATATGAAACAGTTACAGTCGAGATGAGAGGGTAATTTGGTTAGTTCGAGTCCAATATATTTCTCGTACAACCTAGTAAGGTATTCAACTGTGCACAGCGAATTGCTGGACCTTAGATGGCTGGGTGACCGTGAACTTTTAATCACCACAATAATTACATACTAACAAATTATCAGAACATTTACAAAAGCATATAAGACCGTGGACCCCTAAAATAATAATGATAATAATAATGTATACTTTTCATCATAATCAACTTTGTTGTAACATTACCATATACACCCACATTTCATTGCAAAAAAATATAGGTTGTGTTTATAAGCAATTTTCTTCTCTCCCATTCTTTCCACGGATATCAGGCCCTTCTATGTCAGTGTCACCAGTGAGGCTGGGTATATTGAAAACACGTTTCAACATATATACGACACGTTAGTCGTAAAAGGTAACACACAAATATTTACCTAGTAACTCAAGGTGCATCCTAACTAGCACGAATGCACCCACTCACACACACATGCATGAACACACTCACCTTTAAAATACATACACAATAGATTACCAGTACGTAACAGTGTTTACACAGAACGAATATAGGGCGTGCGCGAAAATCACGACATCATTTTGTATCGACAATTGGAAATTGCTTTGGTAGCTACCTCAGGCGAGAACTCTTACACAGTGAAATTTTATAGGTGTTGACATTTAGGTTGCTCAAACCTAAATAAAATTTCTTGAAATCTATCTCTCACATGTACTAGTATGTGCACGTTATCTACAGAGACGTAATTCGTAATTAACACATCGTTTTCAGTTTCAACAACATCAGAAAAGGCTCCACTGCATCACTGTAATGACTGGTACATGACATGATAGTCTATTATTCCTCGTTGAAGTACAATGTATTAACAGAAAGTTTACCTGCACGTTTGCTTCTGTCTGCAGTGACAATGAGATCAGCAATGACCTGTGCGCAAAGGGGTGACATAACAGTAGAACTTCAGTGTTCTGTCAGTGAAAAGATACATGTAAAGGAAGAGTGGTATGGGGACAGAGCAACAAACCCATGCCGATTTCAGACTAACGGATCGTGTAGGGAGGTCCTGCAGACTTGGACTAGCTTGGTTGTAAACTCCAATGGAGAACAGTCGTGCAACGAAACGGTGTCTTCAGTTATGTGTAACGTTGCTGCACCTTCTGCTGCCGAAGTACACTATAAGTGCATCAATGGTAAGACTTGATATATGCTTAACCCGAATTACATACATGGATTATCATTATCATAATTCAAATTATGTTTTATATATAAACCACATTCTATCTTTATTTCAAAATTGTAACTAATGTCACAAAATTATCAAATGTGGTTATTGTAAAGATTACGTTATAGACATAAGTATATTCTACCATGGCTACGTGAAATGCTCGAATTTGATTGGTCAATCAATAAAATCAGTCGGTATCAATTTGGATTGAAAATGCGTCTGATTTCACGGCGCTTCACTGCGCACGTATACAACACTGCCGCACTACTTCAGCTTGGCCACCCACATGACTAATATCAACACAACAGACGTGATGGAAATGCTGATGAAACATTTATTAAAACTCGAAAAATACAGTTATACGATTTCTCCTCCACAGTTATTAGGGAACCTCACTATCATAATTATAACCTTCTATTATAAAAATATTCAAACTCAATTACAATACACAGCCCCAAACATAAACAAACAATATCTAACATATAAATCAGAAACCTTGAAAAAATACATCCCTATCTGTCCCTATTTGTGCGGCAAAACGTTCGTAAACATTTACCTACCTGGTAAATGGTATATTTGTTTCCGTTTAGAATGAGAAATTCGCAAGATAAGGGTCATGCGAAACATAAAATTTAGGCCACTCATACTCCATCTGACATCATGTCCCGTTGCATTGTTCAACATGTCAAAAATTGAACCACGAAAATTCCGCTCTCTGCCACCTTCCCCGCAAGGCTGTCACTGCTATGTTCGTACACTTGAAAAGCTTGGCTCCAATCCAGTCCCAATTAATGAGAACAATGTTCCAAGGAATCTTAAGTTAGTCGCATGTACATAAAGCAGCACTGTCACTCTTTCGTCGCATGCCGGGGTGGAGGTACGTACGTGAAATCATGATCGACACTCGCCGGTCATAAAATCAAGAGTCTTTGATGAGTTACAGGTCATAGGTCGATCAGAAAAGGATGTATTCTTCGATTCTGCAGGGTTCAGGTTCGACAGTCAGTCAAGTATTTTCGACTGTCACTTCGAATTTCAACCTTTCGCAAAATGTAAACACTGATCTCGTCCGCCATTTCAAACTGTTGCGTAACTGTCTACTTCCAAGAAAATAAGTAGGTCAGACGATTCAATTATAGTGTGGCCAGGGGGGTACAGTAACCCGGTATATAAAACAATAGGATGGTTTCGGTCGTGTGGAGTTATGATTATAAACATTCATCTTATTTCCAAACACAGTACGTTTATCTCCTAATTCTCATCCCCATGTGCCACTTACGTCCTTTCGACTTGAGATGTATGGTGCAAAATTTTTCTTTTATAAAGCCTGTTATAGAAATAGCTGAGGAAATATACACTGTCAGCGGGCTGATTGGCAGATTGATGAGTAATTACCCCTAATTACTTACACGTACACCTACACATGTTTGTATACCATCATAATCCTATCTGCTATATTATATATATATATATATATACATATATATATCTATATCTATATCACTCTTTACAATGACATAATCCAAAAGGATATTTCAATACATTATGATCATCTTTTGCTACCCTCGATTTATGTAACACTTCTACATGATCCTCAAATTCAGGTTGCATCTTTTCGTGCAATATCCCCCTCTAGTTAATTCGACCCCTCTCCCACACATTCCCTTAAATAAGGAAGAAATCCAAATGATTAAGTCCGAACAATTCAGCAACTCCTAAACCCAGTGGAAGCAAACACGAGCATTAATACCGCGTTTATAGTTTTAAAATAGTTATGTCAACATATCGACAGCGTCGTAAATCAACTTTTTAACAAAAGGGATGTTGTTCAGCTTATCTTATGCGTGCAGATCGTATGGACATCTGCGGCTCAGACACCATCATCGCAGCAGCAAACGAGTCTGTGTACCTCCACTCCCCAGGCTACCCGTACAGTGTTGGGCTGAATAAAAGCTTTGTGGTGACGATCACTGGCAAGGGTATCCAAGTGACACTGGTTGAGCAGCGTTTGAATGGGGGAAACTTGATCATTTCAGGCAACGGCAATAAACAATGGTCAAATGTGAACACAAAACTATACAACAGAAAACTGAGAGAACAATATTCAGAAGTTGCAATACCTTACGACGGAGGCAATGATAGATCAAACGTGTGGATAAGTGTTGTTAGTAAGTATAATTCTGTTTTCATTTAATTTTAAGCTGCATCTCTGTTGTTTTATGTCACAGATCGTTCTTATTTCATGTAAATGTATGCTACCAATCAAACATTTCGACTCACTTATATACTTTTATTTATATATACATATAATGTTGCAGTTGGTACCCCCAAGTTGGTGGAGAAATTCATCTACGATGTACATGTAATTCAAATGCATCCAATTGCTGAAAAGCATGTGCAAATATCGTGAATGTGAACAGCTGCGTTTTGGTGTAAAGTTTTCACTGATCTTTATCATTTATTGAACGTATGACAATAATCTTTTCAATGATACGAATTCTTTTTACAATACATCAGTTCATGTGTAACCAGTACCTACAAACAGTATGGAATATTTTGCAAGATCTAGTTTGGAACAGTAAGTGGCTACATTTACACTAGTGAGTCTAAACTTTGGATGGGTAGTATATATACAGAAACAAATTACCTAAACAAATAAAGGAACACAGGAAAAGTTTTAATCACGTGACATGACTCGGAAAATACTTGTTCGCCACATCATGATTTAATTTTGATTAAGAGCGTACCTACCATCAAATGCCAAATTTTACCTGCTTCCCGTCTGACTGACTTCGCTCCAAAAGGACATATGCTATGTTATAACTGCTGAAACGCCACTTACTCACACACTAACACATGGCGATGTTTGTTAATGACTGAAAATAAAGGAAACCCTCCATACTGTCCTGATTTTGTAAAATAACCATGAAGATGCACGACTGGCATCCGCATTTATATTATGATGATGTAAAACACACACACACACACACACACACACACACACACACACACACACACACACACACACACTGACACACACACACACTGACACACACTGACACACACACACACACACACACACACACACACACTGACACCCACCCACATAGGTACACACAGACACGCAGACAGACAGACAGACAGACAGACAGACGGACACACAAATTGTTTGAAGGGGAGTATTTTCGCATCTTGATCCAGTTCCAGATCAGTGTATGTAATGTCTTATTTTGCGTGACAGTAAGTACTACATTGTTTTAGCTACAGATACAGTATCAGTCACTACCACAGCCACGGTTGAGGTGACATCGAAGACAGCATCTGCTACAATGAAAATTGCTCTCATCACCACTCCTGTTGCAGGTAAATACAGTAATGCCATTTACATGTGTATCAAAGTAACTTTTGCAAAGGTTTTAGAGATTAATATAAGTTTGATGGGCACATATCAAGGTGTTTCATGCGTCAATGTGGCAATCCTTTGCCATCTGAAGAGTTCTCCATGATTGACACATGCTGCTCTTATTTTGAGAAACTTAAACAATACAGACACTAATTTCCTGATATATTGTAACAACGTCTTGCCCTTTTTCATTATCACAGAAAACATGACAGTTGGAATGACAACTCATATTCCATAGACTCCAGATGCTTCTGATGAAGATGGATTTATTCCAATCTGAACCAATGAATATCGTACATGTACTAGTATTATAGTTAACCGAAGTGCTTGTAGAATATGTGTATATTGAGTACAAACATTTTATTACAATGCACTTTTAACCTTTGTTGGAATCTATGCATTTGCTCTAAAACGAAAGATATTTCTCCACCAAATCTATTTATTTTCACATACCAGCAATGTCTAATTTACAATACAGTATTAGGGTTAGGGTTAAGAAAAAGGAATTATGGTACTGATGACCTGCTCTTGTTATGTGCTGAATAGGCAGAGATTTGCTAAAAAAATGTCTCAAATGAATCATTTTAAACTTACATGTCAGTTTCAGTCGGATTTGCTTTTTAATCACCAGTGATCCATTCTTATAACTCCCATTACTGTTTTGTCTTTTTGGTCATTGAGTATATTGGACATTAATGATTGTTACTCAACCGTTGTATACCATTCAGGCTTTATTCAACAGTGGTTGACAGGGATGATGATGATGACTTTAAGAGGAGGTCACCCATTTTGCTCTGGGGAGGTGGGGGTGGGGGTAATCAAAATATTAAACACAGGTACATGTCAGCAATTTTGTAAATGCCATTGCACATTTTACATGCTACTCTATAAAAATCACACAACCCCCTCACCAACGTCTAGGCATGATAAATGTTTAGAACATCATGACCACTATTAAGCCAAATATGACGTTGAGGTTTCATCACAACACTCGTTTCCCCACCCTCAAATATTACTTTCAACCCTTCCAAAGTTACTCCCAACCCCATTCCGGATTACTTCACATCCATCCAGCATTATTCATCACCCTTCCCGCAATACTCCTCTTCGCTCCATTATTACTCCCCACCCATCTATTACTCTCGTTACTCAATCTACATTGACATGATCACGAACATTCATTGGAATGGTTAGAATACAGAATATTCATCACGTGCTATTGTGTTGCAGGTGTAAAAATGATAAAGCTAACCGTTCTGCAGCTTCTCCTCACAACGGTGGCATTGACAGACCTCTGGAGCTCCACTCTCCCCACAATAGGACACCTAATGGTTTACGAAAGCATGATGGCAGCCAACATTATTTCATCATAGATCCAGCATTTGTGCCTGGAAATGGGGATGTGTCATTAAATTACAGACTCAAGAGGCAAAGAAGAAACCAGCCCCGAGTACAGGACGGATACTCTGTAGTATTGCCACATAGCTCTAGAATAAACATGAATGAAAACAACACACTTACGATCAAGCATCCGAAATGTACTCCGTTACCAGATAGCCTGACTGGTTCAAATGAAGATAAACATGTCGAGGACACTGAATCACCTGGAACAGGTGACCTGAAAGCTGACACTGATCAACTTGAATCGGTGGACAGTTTTCTGTTTGATCGGGGGAAACAGTACAAAATCCACGTGTCACATGATCGAAAACGATGTGTACTGTGGGGGACCTCCTACTACAAAGAACCATGATGTCAGTCCCGATGACGTCAACCAGGATGAAGAAAGCACGCCTGAAGATGACTTATATCATGGAGAAGAATATGTCAGAGTCAGTACTATTGAAGGGATGGTTGACAATGATATATATGAGAGTTCTGGGTATGACACTATAGTTGCAGATCAAAGTGGTGAATGTGAGGAAGTGTCTGTTTCAGCTACCCAAGATATCAATACAGCAGGATCAGCTAAGGAGGAGGTTGACATGATGTCTAATGACCTCTAGCACAGTTTCGTGTAAACCTTGTACGCTCATAACAGTTGATTATGTTCCTGATTCTATGTCGATGACCTCCCAGGCACAGATGTCAGGCATTACATGTAAACATATTATCTGCGGCATAAACCTTATGAATATTTGCAATCGATAAATAGCTATACCAAAGGATATATAGTACTCAAATATAGTACACAAATATATCACTTGAAAACCTTATATGAAAATTGCATGTGTCATTGTTCAAAACTGTCTTATGTATCCTTTATGCCCATATAAGGCTGTATTCACTCGGTATTAATATAATTCTGTCTTGTTTATGGCAGGACATCCTTCTGTGAGTGTAGGTATGATTGATTTTCCTGCATCAATTGAAGTGGGTTTAACAGTTCTGTATTTCAGTAATGACACAACGTGTCCAGTTATTGTGTTAGTGTTCGTAGATGCTTACAACATGAACGGGTGAAACCTGTATTGTGTAGACAAATACAGAAAAGCATTGGGTGCTGGGCGGTGTTCTGCACTGATCAGTGGATTCTGGACCTTCGTCACAAACCAGCAGTTTGTTACACATACACTTTACTGATTTTTTTAATGCTTTTCTGATCTTAGTATACAGGCCAAGATAAATCAGAAGCAGGTTTATTTGGTTTAGTCGAAGTTGAGAGGAAGCAGTAGCTAAACATGGCAATACCAAAGAAGTTATAGAGTAACTATGCTTCGGCTGGAAGTGTTGATTTTGAAAACCTTCAAACCTAACTAACTGATTTCGTACGATGAGTAATCTTGCTGCTAATGATGAAAATGCAGGAATATTACGCACGCACTTTGTATATATTCACTGACTTAAAATTAACATACTTATTTTCTCTTAATAAACTTAGTTATTGTATACTCTCACCAAAATAAAATAACTGATTACGTGTATGGGGATATTGTACATTGTGCAGAGAAATACATACTTGCTTTTCCCCTGTACGTTTATTTGTTGTGTAGAAATAAGAACGCGTCTTATATAGAATGTTTATTTGAGGAAATTTCATATCGGAACAAAGTCCATTTCCCAAGCACCTGATGCATTAGTACATTGCAGAAAAAGAAAGAACTGCAACACAGAAGCTCTACTGCAAATTGAAAGTTATAATGTAAATTATACATTTTAGTTTGTGCAGCAACTAGGTTCATTTCCATAATTCGTCCATTCCATTATGTCCTCTATTTTCCCCTTTTGCGTTTTATACTCACCGGCACCGGAAACACGTTACTGTACCTATATATACACTTGGTCACCATGCGAGCACCCTCTTGCTCCATCTCGCCATTGTTTTATCATCGTTACACGCCAACTGAATTATTATCATCCATTCAACCCATCCCCACGTTTCTTGATCTGGTATTGGTTCACCAGCATACTGACGACATGGCACAACGGTTGTACGGACGCACGAGATCTCGCACCGCCTCTGCCAGGAGAAATCAAAACAAAGTCCAGCCACATTTGAACCCAGAGGACAGCCATGATGACCCTGAAACCACTCAATCGGAACCTCGGCTCACAGGAACGGACCTGAGACAGAGATTGCAGAATATGGGATTCCAAATTCCTCAGTCGTGGAATTGGCGAACCATGCTGCAATTGTATGAAGAGAACTCCACTCCAGCTCCCGATGCCAGCACACATTCAAGGCGAGGGAGACAGCACCGAAGGTTATCCAGGACCCCTTCTTGTACCGTGACGTCATCGGACACGTACAACCCTCCGTCTGAAGAGCAGAACCCCTATGCAAGGGATCGTTGTGAAGCTAGACAGCCCACATCAGTACAGCAAACCATTACCCCGGACGAAGCTGCTCGCAGGGTGCGGCAAAACCTCAACATGCCAGAACTCGAGTTGCCAGTTAGGGAAGATCCACTGCGCATGAGCAGTTCGACAGTTCCGTCAGCTGAACAGGAAAGTACCGTGGCCGACTTGAGAAGGGAACTTGCGGAGTTGAGACGCATCGTCCATGACACAGCAGAACCCCGGAGATTCCCCACCCACGGACAGGAGTATCCCGTTGAAGGTATGGCCTCAGACAGTTTGCCGCATATTGATACAGTTCCCCCCTCAGATCATTAGAAAAATCAAAGAAGGAAAATATGTCAATCTAACGGTTCTGTTACTCCCCAATCAAGAACTAGGGGAGCCTCGTTCCGTTGACTTAAATGGCAGTTCAATATTCTTAAAAGACGACGCTCGAACAAGCCGTTCTCTAAAAATCTACGAATTCTTGGAGGCTTTTGATATTTACAAAATGATTTTCTGCGGTGACGATGTTGTGAAAATGCGCCAAATGGATCTTCATCAACAGACGTGTATTACCTTGGCAAAATATTATGGTGGGACTGCCCACTATGACTACCATAAACTCTTTGCGGCTAGAGTGGCTGCATATGCTGAACAGGACGTGCCCATTAACTGGGGAATCAGAGACGTTAATTTCTGGAATCTCGTCACTTCAGGAAAAAGAGCTAGGTCGTGTGACAAGTGCCAAACTGTCACTCACACAACAGAGATGTGCCCCCCAACCTGCCGAAGCTGGTTCCAAAGGTAGAGGTATCCCGTATGACACCGGGCTAAACAGAAGAAGAACTACAGATGTCAAAGGAAGGGATAGGGTGCCATTTGACAATGCAGGAATTTGCAGGATGCAGACGTGTCAACTGCATTTATTCTCACATGTGCCTCCAGTGTAAAGACACCAGACATGGGCTACGACAATGTAGATACAAGAAAGCTGCATGACTGGTCAGTGCCCCAATTTCCACTCAGACATCCCTTCCAGTTACACCTACGCTACCACCTATCAACGTTTCATTATTAGAAGACCTGCTGTCAGAACATCCGCATCAAGAATTCGTGTCCTATCTTATTAGTGGAGTAACACATGGTTTTCACCCAAAAATACAACCATGGCCTACTACCTCTCACGAGTGTACTAATAATCTTAGTGCCCACACACGGCCTCATGTTGTATCGAGACTCGTCAAGGGAGAAGTCATACAGGGGTATGTCCTTGGCCCCTTTGTTCAACCCCCTTTTCAGACATATCGGGTCAGCCCTCTCGGACTGGCTACAGGGAAATACACTAACAAGAAACGCTTGATCCTACATCTATCTGCCCCACATCGGTCTACTATTACACAAAGCATCAACGAGCTTATAGACAAGGACGCCTGCTCTTTAACTTACGTGAGGGTGGACCAAGCTATTTCCAGGATTAACCAATTGGGAAAAGGGGCATGGTCGGTAAGGTGGACATTACGGATGCCTTCAAACAACTTCCCCTGGCGAAGGCTGCACAGCCATTCTTCGGATTTAAATGGAACGGATTATACTTTTTCTACAACAGACTTGCTTGCGGCTGCAGATCCAGCCCTGTTATCTTTGATACACTCTCACAAGCCATCTGCTGGATTTTTCTCCATAAGCGCCAGGTACAGTTTGTTCTGCATTTGCTTGACGATTTCCTCACCATCGATCCACCAGAGTATCCAGCTACAAAAACCATGCATTCCCTCCTGGAATTATTTGATTCCCTAAAAATTCCACTTTCTCAACACAAATGTGTGGGCCCCGTGACAGAAATAGAATATTTAGGTGAAATTTTGAACTCACACAGTATGACTGCTCTTCTCCCCCAAGACAAGGTACATCGCATCCAAGAGTTCATAGCTTCATTCAGCCAATGGAAGAAATGTACAAAGAAAGAACTGTTGTCACTCCTAGGTCACCTGAATTATGCGGCTCGAGTGGTTTTACCCGGGCGTTCTTTTGTGTCTTACCTCATTCAGCTGTCTACCAGAGTGGCCGAACTCCATCATCATGTCACCATCTCACAAGCGTGTCGTACCGATCTGTACATGTGGGATCTGTTCTTGCAACAGTGGAATGGCCGGGTTTTTTTCCACGATGAGGACCTCACCCTTGCCCCCCATTTTCAACCGTTCACTGATGCCTCAGCTACCATAGGATATGGAGGATGTTACTACAATGCTTGGTTTGCCCAGTGATGGACTGATTTTAAACCAATCTTGCCCCCACAACGTTCTATTGCATTCCTGGAACTGTACCCCATTGTTGTGGCCACCATATTGTTGGGTAAACTTTGGAAATGTAAAAGAGTGACTTTCTTGTGTGACAACCAGGCTACAGTTGACATTATAAACAAGGGCCGATCCAAATGCCTAAGTATCATGGCACTGATGCGTACACTAACATGGTACTCAGCCACAGGTAATTTCATCGTTAGAGGTAGACATGTGCCAGGGAAGTCTAACAATGTTGCTGACTCTTTATCCCAGTTTCAGATGGACCGCTTCCGCCAACTATTACCAACAGCAGCCGGTTGCCACTACAGTGCCCAGACAGCTCCAGTGTAATGTGGACCTAAATCACAATCTCCAGCTTCTGTGGTCTGCAGCCGTAAAACCCAAGACACGAACAACTTATGCTACTGGTTTCCAGCGATACCTGGGATTCATGTTGCGGTTTAACCTTTTTTTCGACTTTCAACAACCCAAACGGCATGCCTCCAGTTTGTGAAGCCCACTGCTTTGGAACGCTTAATCATTAGCATGACACAGTGAAAACTTACTTGGCCGGCATCCGATTCAGCTATCTACAGGCCGGGATACACTCTCTGTTTGACGAGGCACATTTAGGATCCCTGAACAGGCTACAAGCCTTGTTGCGTGGATATAAAAGGTTGAAGACTCCAAACAGCAAAACTCGTCTCCCGATTACTTACAATATTCTTTGCAACATTGTTAGAAAGCTAAGATGTGGCGTGTTTAGTCCTTTTACCGACATGGTAATAGAATGTATGTGCATTGTGGCATTTTTTTTATTTCTCAGGTGTGGAGAGATCACTTGTGGTGTTACTTTCAACCCAGAGTATAACCTGTGTTTGCAAGACGTGACATTGGACTTCATACGGAGACGGTGCTCTATCAAGCTCAAAGCTTCGAAGACAGATCCCTTCCGCCTAGGTGTTACTGTGTCCTTGTTCGCATCTCATCAGGAAGCCTGTCCTCTCGTGGCCTTACATCGACTTGTTGCCACAAGACAGTTGTGCGGAGCTTTACCTTCAGATCCCTTGTTTGTTAGTGCTCCAAGATTCCATTTAGTAGAGATATGTTTCTGTGTCACTTGCGTGTTGTGCTCCGTCAAATTGGTCTAAATCCTTCCATGTACTCAGGCCATTCCTTTAGGATAGGCGCTGCTACTACAGCAGCTAAAGCACGGATCGAGGACCATCTCATTAAAACCCTGGGACGTTGGCAATCTGACTGTTTTACCAGATACATTCAGACCCCGGAAATTGTGCTGCGACAAGCACAGCAAGCCTTGTGTACTCATTAACACTGCCAGCTTAGCTATATGTATTCCTTACATCATATCACCTCGGTGCGGGGCAGTTCACCCTCAGCTGGCATGTAAATATTAGTATCCGTAACTTCACTCGTACATATGTATAATTAGTTTGTGTTTCTACATTATTTATATACCATACTGGATATTGTCACACCATTACTCCCTACTTAATGTGCTAATGTTCAGCATTTGCTTAACCATCTTAAGGTATTCACTTATCATCAATTGCATTCTGTCCCACTTAATCACGTACCGGTGCCTGCAATTTCACGTGGTTCTACTACATCATACCACCATTGTGCAGGGCATAACCCACAGCTTACCGGTCTCGTGTAAATAGTAGTATCCATCCTCTTACCTCATATATATGTATAAGTTGTTGTGTTATCTACATTGTTTTATGTACCAGGCCATGTATTGTCATACCATTACATCCTGCTTATTTTGCTCATGTCCAGCATCTTCATGCTTAACCTCAGTAGGAATTCCCTTACTATCCTCAATTCAATTCCGTCCCCTTAATCACTATTCCACCTTCTTGGGGGCTCTCGGTATAACCTCGTTTTGGGTATTCAGCCATTCCTCCTAGGAATCGGCTATGCCCCCAAGGCAGCTCTCACCAACATGCCCGGGCTTAACAACCAGGACACCTGCGCTACATTTTACGGGTTATCACCCATTAATAGCCGAGCCAGCCCTCTTCATATATATGTGCCAAAAAACAATAAATGTAAACTTTTACTCGTGTCATGTTTTCTGTTGTTGCACAAATACGCCCTATAATGATTGTTTGCCTTTAGGGAAAAACACAACAACGCTAAATGTTTATGGAAATTAATTCAGATCTTCGGTGATAATCATTGTGTTAACAAATGGTGACGCATGTTCATTGGGTGACATCTAAGCATTCACGCAGTGCGATCTTTAGTACTGCCTTAACTACGCATGTATTCCAGAAACAGTTTGTCTTCAATAGGTTTTCTTATTGGCATTTTAAAAAAAATGATTCAGAACTGTTTGAATAAATGAACTTTCTTTCCAAAGGGTAACCAGTCATTTGTATGCGAATCACACGCATTAATGGACACTTTGAAATTATTGAGAAATCTGCTTACCAGTTCATGTACATTTACCACATCAGATGAGTGTTTGGAACTTATTCAGGCTCAGGGGTGTCATATTTGTAAAGTATGACCGGAATTGTCTCCCTTGGGTAACAGACTAGCGCATGGCAAACAGCAATCCACGGAACGTATGCATATATAGCAGATATTTTTAACGCATATCTTTTCACTTCCCTGCCTTATTGCCTCCTTGGGTTGCATGGATTGCATGCAACTAGTATTGAATTTACAGCTACCTATGACATTACTCCCCACCTATCCAGCATACCTCACCACCCCTCAAGCATTACTCGCCCAAAACACTCCTGTTTTACTGCCCACCCTCTTTCAGACTTTCCTGTGGTAGTGGTTAACAAACCTTCGATCAATGGAACGTTTTCAATGAATATATTTCACTTCCCTGTCTAGCGGCTTCGTCGGGCGCATGCATTGTATGCAACTAGGATTGCATATACAGGTACCCATGACTGCTCTGAAATTACATATGGAGGCAATTTCACATCCTTGTCCATCAAACTCTTGTTTATGTTACTCCTGGAAATATCAGTTGACAATGCTATGTGCAGTATTTGCACGAATGTGTGACTTTCAGATCAGAGAAACAAGTTACTGAAACAAGAACAGATGTATCGAATAATGTAACATTTGGAACTGGATGTGTAGACTTCGAGGACGCTAAAAGGGCCATGAATATCAGACGAATATTTGTTGGGACAGTGTTCATAGCTTATGGGTATTACATCATGTCTGCATATGGTGAGTACACAAAATACACACGATATAACATTCTGAAATAGTGTATGTATGCAGTCACCATGTCGAACGTTATATATTTTCTGACAAAATTAGGGATTTTCTTTTTCAACTGTAGCTGATTCACGATAGAAGTAATGTCTTACCCCAGTAACGTAGAATTACGTTTGCATAATGTTAATGCGCGAGTCATTTCCAGAGATTATTTCTTTATCTCATCAAAGTAATAGGGTTTCATCTGCGATTGTATAAAATCTAAGAGTAATATCTTAGGTTGTATCATGCCAAGTGTGTTTGACTGAACGATTCATTTCATATTCAAAGGTGACACCAGAACGAGAAACAGATGTATAGAGGGATTGTCGAAAGTCTTTACAGTACAGCTTCATTGTTCTGTCGATGAGCGGATACATGTCGAGTACGAGGCGTATGGGGATGGAGATGCAGTGACATGTCGTCTGGCATCTGCTGAGTCGTGTAGTAAGAAACTCGCCAGCAGCCGGCATGGCCTGGTTGTCAACTGTAATGGGAAACAGTCATGTCGTGAAACCATGCAGGTACAGACCATCAACAACTGTAATATTACCGCTGCTGCTGCAGAAGTAAACTACAACTGTATTAAAGGTGAGACTTCAATATGGTATACCTAGTATCAAAGGTGATCATTGGAGAAACCTGTAGTAGATCTAGGTATAAACACTGATTTCTTTAATATCAGCCACTGAGTCCATTATAGACATATCATTGTAAATATTTACCACGAACGTCACAAACGAATGTGTAGATGTTGAATGCACAACCAGATGTCAACAGCAGTATCACCGATGCTTCTCAGTGCTGAAGTAAAGTACTACAATATCAAGGGTAACTTTGGTCGTTGACGGGGCATTACCTGACTGTCAGTAAGACACAACGTAGGAATGACGGTATGTCTTCCCCCATCAAGAGCAATCTCTTAGCGAAAAACGTGTGTCGCCAGTGGGCTTACGAATGTTATCTTCGGCGATATGAGCAAATCTTTATGAAATAAACAAGAAATATTTATTTACTAACAATTTCCCAATTTAAGAAATATTTGACGGGGCGCTGTCAGGCTTGAATATTATTGGCTGTCAAACTCTGAAACAGATATAAGTGAATGCGTCAATTGTAGATGTTATATAATCTAGAAACGTACTATCTGTCTCTGTCAGCCGTATGTTAACAATAGTTCGACTGATTGAAGAATTGATCAAATCCGATGGAGCCATTGTTTTATGGCTTACAGCCTGAAATTCATAATTGTAAATTATTCGCAATTCGCTTGTCAGAGATTACGACATGGCTATTTTTAATCTTTTTGTTACAAAGTTCATTAATACACACTGATGGGCCCACAGGTGATACCTGTATATAGTACCATGCTACGGAACCTTGTTTTAAATAATTGGACCATTCTCTTGTTGTGCTTCGTGACATTACAAAACAACACGCTCAAGTAATGTCGTACTGTCTTCATCATATACATAATCATCCGTGTTGTGTCATCGGATCCGTGAAGATCCAGGTTAGAATTAGATTATTATTCATAAGTTGGAAACAAAGGCACTTGCAAACAAGCAAGATCATCAAATGTTTTGAAATACAGTCATGTCTTGAAGCCATAGGTGTACAGCCTACTAGTATTAACCACTGCAATGTGACCAATGCTACTGCTGAAGTAGAGTACAACTGTATAAAAGGTAAGTCATCAGTTTAGTATTCCCATATCATGAGACAAAGTTAAGTAGATGCATAAACATCGATTTGTTTTAATGTCAGTCACAGATTCAATAATACAAACACATATCATTGTAAATATTTACGCCGAACTTCATAAATGATTAATAAGTACATGCTGAATGCACAGCCCGATAACAACTTGAACATCACTGATGCTGCTCAGTGCTGAAGTAAAGTACAACTGTATCAAAGCTGAGTTCTGTCGTTGAACGGGCATTAACTGACTGGACTGTCAGCAAAACACAACTTAGTAATGGAGGAATATCTTTACCCCCTTCGAACTACATTGCTCATACACTTTTTCAATGAAAAATGTGTGTCGCCAGCGGGCTTATGAATGTTATCTTCGGACACAGCGACATGAAAATATCTTTATAAAAGTAACCAGTAAATATTTATTTACAGATAATTTATCTATTTATACACGGTGATACCTTTGTTTCATTTTTTTACGTTTCATGTTATTTTCTGCATATGTTTGATTTGTCAGCTTTTCGTTCAAAGACACGAAAATTTAGAAAACATCCACTCGCTGAGGGCGCTGTTATCTCGTAAAAAGCAGAAATATGCTCGAGCTGGTCCTAGATGGAATACATACTTGCCTTGGAACATGCACATGCATTTCATAAGTCGAGGCGCCAAAGAACAAGGTGCACGTGTGAAAGACTGAAAGAACATATGTAACCTGGATCTCGCATGACCGATGGACTCGAGGTCGAACTAACCATTTCAGCGATTAGACATCAGGTCCTCGTGATCTAACGAATACTTAGTACTATCTCAAACTGACATTATCAACAAGGAACGCTTTAGATAATGTCAGTCAGTGATTCATTTACGCCTACATGTAGGCGTCAATATTTAAACCCAGTTGTCATTTTTATGCATTATGTTACATATTACGAATCATGGTACATTGCGTTTTCGATCAAGGTTTTGATTGTCACATTAAGTGGTTTAGTGCAGTGGCAAAGGGTGAAAATAGATACCTGTAGGACTAAAGCATGAAACTTTGCAAAGTGCTGGGAAATATCATGATAAAACATATGTTTGTGGTGGTGCCCGATGTTTTGGGCCCATTTTCCGAAAAATCCAAGATGGCGTCCAAGATGGCCACTAAAAATCAAAGATTTCCAATTCTAACACTAAATGACTTACCCCCGCTTACTTATCCAAGACGGCCACCAAAATTCAAAGTCCACCCAGAATGGTCGCCGACTATGACAAATTTTAAAACGTTGTTCGTGCTGTAAGCCACTCGTTTTAACAGACTCCATTAATACAGGTTGGGACACTTTTCCCCTTCCCCGTTGATGGTAGCATTGCGCCTCATGCATCTGCACACTACTGGAAGTACATACACATATTTACCCCGCTAAAAGTCAGGCAATAGGAACCGCCATGTCGTCGGTTTTGTTTACATCGGCATAAAGGTCAATTTATTTCATCAAATGCTTTTTGTCAAACATTCGTTTGGGCAAAGATTAACAGATAACTCATTCCTGAACACATACATGTACAGTAAATACAACCTGGTACCCATATAAAAGCCAATATGGAAAAGGAACCGCAATATCGCCGGTCTTGTTCACATCGGTATAAAGGTATAGTTATTATCTATTTTTTACAAGATCTAAACACGAATGGCAAACATACTTGGGAATCAGATGTAAGATGGTGGTTATTTAACTCTGGATTTTCTCATGTATGCATATCTCATGATGTGGGCAATGAATCTGTTTTATTGTTTAAATGAAGAGAATACTCACTGATATGTATCAACAAGAATGGCACAACTCTATATGCACTTCAAAATACTCATTATTCTAATGTTAAGTCACAGCTTGTACCAGAGCATGTGCCGTTTGAATGATTTCTTTTGGCTCAAATGAGTTGTTGTATATCGGCTTGCTAACTGGCGCAACGTGAGCTAGGTGGTTTCAGAGACAATGTCCTCGAATAATCAAAGCAATCGTATTAGGTCGAATTTTACGTTGGTTGAACGAAGTTTCACCATAAGCTCAATGTGGCAGTTATCAGTTTACAAAAGAATAAAAGATATATATATATATTTGCTATTATACTAACATATGTACAGCGCCGATATCCAGGTCAGCTGCTCAAAAGCGCTTTGTTTTTCTCCCTCGATCACTGGCATTCAATCTCAACGGCACGTCGTATCATCAATCTCAGCTCCCTGGGGATCATACAGCTCTTGCAGCCACTAGGCGCACCGAGTTAATATGGCTTTCCCATCCTTACGAGGTACCCATTCACAGCTGGGTGGACTGGGACACATAGTCACAGTATTTTGTCCAAGTTTACTGCACGTTGCTGTACCCGCAACTAGGTGTTTGCACGTATTCATGGGGACCATCTGGTCATCTACCAACGGATTCGTGGGTTCTTTTACGAGCACAGGGTTGTGTACTGTACACTAGGGGCTGTGACAACACTGAAAGAGTCTGCACACAAAATGACTCCAAGGTTTTAACACCCGGTCACAGGAGGGATCGATCCCGTCACCTCAAGCTCGCTCGATTACTAGCCTGGCGCCTTACACAGCTCGCCCACCACGCCCCCATATATGTTTAACGTCTTTGTTTACTTAGATAGTTCTACACTTGTACACTTTGAACAAAGTCTTTGAATGCGATGCTATATATGTGGATAAAAATGTCGTCCATCAGTTCACTGTCCCGTGTGTATGCAGACGTCGTGGCATCTGAGGAGTACTGATGTGGGGTGTCCAGAAAAAGATAACACGTACTTGTTTTATCAAAATTGTTTGAGTAGGTGTGGTTACTGGCATTTTGCATTTTACTCCTAATGGAATCAGTTTCGGATGATAAATAGATTTGGTATCGGAGGGAACAACAGTAAACAGTAAACACAACTATTATTACACTTGTCCCATGTACCTGTATTTCAGGTAGTATGAACATGTGTAGTCCAGTCACAACAACAGTAAACAGGTCGGTGTACCTCCATTCTCCCGGCTTCCCTGACAGTGTCGGTGTGAACAGAAGCTGTGTTGCTAGGGTCACAGGGCAGAATATAGAAGCAGCATTGGTGGAACAGCGGATGAGGTCGGGGACGCTTGACATCTCACGTGACGGGAGACAACTCTGGACAAACGTGAACGTGAACCAATACAACAAAGTATTACCGGATCTAGCTGCCGAAATAGTTATAGTCTACGATAACCATGATCAGGATGGATCAAATGTATGGATACGTGTTGCAGGTAGCAATCAATTAATACACTGATGCCAAAATCATATTTAGCATACAGTATTCACAGTAATGCATTTTGCGCCCTATTCCTCCTTAACTGAATTTCATATGGCCCTTCGTGGCTCTATTTTTTGTTAATTTCCCACCACATGCCGAAATCGTATCTCTTAACGATAAACATATAACGCGAACCTAGTGAATGCTGTAACAATAATTTGTTCAAAGATTCAGGTCAAATGAACGTAAAGATCAGCGGAGAAATACTGGATTCATCATCCACATCTACATCAACACAGCAGCCGCCACGTTCACAGAGTACATCCAGTCCAAGTACTTCGGATACACCAAGAACTGAAACAGCGGCACATTCTACATCTATTGGTGAGTGTATAGTGGCGTTGTATGGACCTCGCCATGCCTCAAACGTTTTCAGCTGCTTACAGAGATAATTACCCCCATACATGTATTTTTATTGTTTTTGCCTGTGTAAGTGTGAACATTACTGTAGGGCATGGTTCATTAACTTGTGTGGTCGACCGCTATTTGAGCATGTTTTCACTGCGGAGCATCATCAATGCATTATTTAAGGTACTTTAAATCTTCCTTGGAACTGCATCTGATAAAAAATTCTCAAATTGCAGCATCCTTTACGACAGTTACATCTACGAGTTGACAACCTACTCGTTCGACAGGGAATATAACAACACAGTGGACTTCAAAATCAACGATGGCATCAACAACATTTTCAACAACAGACACAAGTGAGTATACGCAATTACACCCATTTCTTCACAGTATGTACACACTATATTCGTCTATTGCTTGAAATTACACACAAACGTTGTGTGGCAGTTTAGTAGTTTAATGTCGATATAGTGAGAACTGCATCTGATCAAAAAGGTTTTAGTACAAACCACCACAACTGCATCCCTGTTGTAGACATTATTGGCTCCACCATATCCATATAATAATAGATGGTTTGTAATACATTCAGTCTTTGTGTTATAGGCGTGAACACAATCAAGCACCCAGTAGTACACTTTGCAACCCAGCTGAAGTACTTCTTGATCTCTTTATACTAATAAATAGGGCTGCTCAATATAACCGGATTACCGATATTTACTGATTCAGACATGAAATCGATACGTATTGCGATCCGCTGCTCGAAAACCGGTATTTCGACCTGCATTCGGAAAACATCGTAACACTCGAAAATCTTCGAATATATCCGTTTTTCACACTGGAAGTATAATTAAGTTCGGTTTGAAGTTGTGTTCTTAATTTTTGTTCAAATGTTTCGCAATGTTTTGGATGTGAATGTTTTAAATCTCAGGGTTTTTTTGAGAGTGGAGAAACCAGTTCAAACTAGTAACAACTGTGTTGATGTTATATTGTTCTTTTCCAAATCATGCATAGTGATTTTGTTGTGTTTTAACTTGTTCATTTGTAGTTTTGTGTTTCAAAACATTTCTTGCAATATATTGCAATACATATCGCAATATATGCATTCGCATCGCAATATATCGCAACATGAAAATTGTCTGCAATACCCAACCCTACGAATAAATCGGAAAAACAATGACATTGATTAACTATCTGGAAAATATAATATTTTGTATGGAAGTATAAGTCCAAAACATTCTCAACAAGAATCGTTTTGTGCAAACATACATACTGTTTGGTGTACACAGGATGAAACCCCACTACAGTATTACAATGTCAGAGAAGGAAAGCAATAGAGTAATTGAAAGGGGTATAGCATTAATGTTCTTTGCAGGGATAATCGAAGCCAACATCCAATGGCCACGAAACCAAGATTCTCCCAAATCATGATCGTTAATTTTAAACAGGAGCAGAGAACTGAAACATGCGGAAGCTGACGTCTTCAAGACTGCACTTATTTTCTGAACCTATTGTTTCAGGCAACATCTGGGATATTGTGATAGCCTTATCTGTGGTGTGTGGTATTCTGGTTCTCATCAATGTAGTCCTCGTCATATACTTGTAAGTACTTCATACTGTCTTAAATGCACATATCAAACACAGTGCCACTGCTATAAGGATAAAATGTATCTTTTAAACAAGAGAAGTATGACAACCAATTATTGAGAATTGCCGTTTTTTCGTGATAGAATCGATGCTATCACTGCATAGTAATTAATCAAGGTATATATAACATAATTATTAGTTAACGGGGAATCACCGACGGGTAGTTTACAGTAATTCTCCGATCACGAGGTACAACATGAGACCATGGAATGAGTTAACTTTAAACGAATCAGAAATATTGTGTCGGGGGACATGTGACATGTGCCTAGGCGTGGCAGGCTGGAACACTTTGAAAAGATATCGTAAGCACTAACAAAGTGGTGCAGGTTTGAAAGTCAGCAGAACGTTCGCTTCGCGATCGTTGTAGTTCCACGTTTGGTAAAGAGCTTGCCCTATCCTGTCCTATCCGAGTCACCTTGTAATGAAGAGAGGGACTGGGTAAATCTTTAATTATTATATGCGTTATGTTGATATAATTATTGTATGAATGCGCGCCAGAACATGAATGCAATATTGTTAGTTAGAAGTCCCGGTCGTCCGACCCTCATTCCTTGACGTAGCATCCCCCCAACGGACCAAGCGAATGTAGCTTGAGCTTACATCTCCCCCTGACAATGTGGACGGCCATGTCAATAGGTAACTGTTTACTGTCGCCCAATCGGCAGTTAGGACACCACTATGGTATTTTGGTTTACTTTCTGCTGTTGAACATAATATTATCAATTGTGTATATTGTCAAATGTTTATCACTGCAGCATGCTGGTGAAGCCATTCAGGAAGAAAAATAACACTTCACCGAAAACAGGAACGCCCGTTGGGCATGGTGAAACAAATGTCTACTATGGAATACAACGCAATACAAGCGACTCTGGTGACGAACACAACTACGTCCACATAACCAGCAGTGAAGGGCCTTTCTATGCTAACTTTGTCAGTGGAGATGATCCATATGTTAACACCTAGAACTTAGTGCTACTCAGTCGTAGATATAGTAACATAAATCATTATGTTCCTGTATAGTCACGTTGAAATCAATCAACGTTCTTTATGAAAGGCGTTAGCGAATATGTGCTTATAAAGTCTATATTCTAAACGTTTCTTTGTGCACTATTGCTGTAAACGGTGAAAATATGTTTCATATTACACATTATGCTTGACAGTATTCAGATCCTAATTAGTCGTTACCTTCCTTTATTAAAGTCTCATTTATCACCTGATCAGTCACATGCTTGATACATTTCTCCCAGATACAGTAAGATTGTCGAATTGTTTGTCTACCGATTATAGAGAAACGGCTACTTTGGGTAGTTTTCAAAAACAGATTAATGCAATATATAACAAACTTTATGGATAACAACTTCTTTTTATTCGTGAGTGCGACGTTTCGATACAGATTCTTGTACCGTTGTCAAGCATAATGGAACATGAAGAAGGGGGAAGTGTATATATACTGGATGTAATAATGTAACAAAGAAATCAACATAATTAACATAATTGGCTAGGCAGAAAGTTTATGAAGCCAGAGAGTAGACAAAGGACAGGAGTGGAAGCCAATGACGTACAAATAATAATGAGATGTTTATACAGCAGAGTTTATACAGTAGATTGGGCTTGGTGGATGAGTGCATCATAAGCGGATGGAAAGTTATATATTGTACTTCCCAACTTCTAAAAATGTCACTCAAAGAAACAGATTAATGGGTCAAATAATAATAATAGTCAAAATTACTTCAATTTAAGCTTTGGAACAAGATTCTTTTAGATTATCCATTCACGCCTCAGGCTCGGTTGCAGCGATTTAAACGCACATAAATATCAACGATTTATATCTTCAAATCCCTCTTGTTCTTGTGGCTACTGTTACGAAGATCCAATTCACTATTTCTTTTCGTGCGTTAATTACAATGACACAAGACATAAAATGCACTTCTATACTAAAGGATATGACATCAAATCAATACTATACGGCTACTCTTATGGATCTGCTAAAGGTAATCTTGAATTATTAGAATCTATCCATTCTTTCATTGTACTGTCAGGCAGATTTGTGTTGTAATATAAAAACGAAATTGCACTTACTATTAAGTATTTTCCGACACTAATGGTCCTAACGTTAAAAGCGGCTATGTTACAGTTTATGATTGTTACATTTCCAGAAAGCTATTGTTTATCGTTTGTTAATATCATGTTTTTCTCCGTACGATCATTATATCTATAATATATCTGTATTCCGGAGCGGTATTCATATAAGCACCATACTGCTTGTTTACCAATCCGGTTCCTCTTTTGGAAATAAATATGTTTAAACCATATAAATGCGAAATTTCAATGCATGTAGTTTATCTGCTTCACTACTCATGATTCATCCTTTTCCATCATCCATACGTTTAGTTATTAATTCAACTAAATGAACCGTTTTAAGAACAGATAGTCGCTAACAGCGCTAATTTCAAATATGTCTTATTAAAACAAGTATCATGTGGACAAGTCCTGTTACTTTGACATGAAACATGCGGCTTGTCACTGTTGATGATGACGAAATGTTCTATCTAAATGCATAAATTCTGTGGAAGTAATAACTACACAGATCACGTCTTGTGGTTAATTTGTTTCAAAATTTGGTTATTTGTCATTCAAGAAGTAGTTTATGCTGAAACGTAGCTGGTCATACACAGAGTTTTGAACTTAGAAACAAGATCCAAACTACATGGTCTTGATGGCAGGGTTCGTAGCCATGGTGAAGTAGGTAGTAAGGTCATCTGGATTCTTTGTGTCGGGGTCTAAACAAAAATAACACGTACAGCACTTAGACAAAAGGTTTTCCCGGAATGACATAAGATGTTCATACTTATCAGGGAAATTACATAATTCACACAGTTGCGCCAATAGTGTTCCGATTCGTAACACTGTACCTATTTACAACATGAAGGTTGCTACATGCATATCAGGTGCCGCTATTCAGATATAGTGCACGTGCAGCCAATAATCCACCAGTCGTGGACAATAATAATAAATACAGTTGCTTTGTTTTACATTAATATGTAAATAAACATTCCTGGTATGATAACCCGAATAGTGCTTTGTCCTTACTTTGTATCATGATTTTCCTGTAAATATCACGACGAGGTAAATAGCGATTTTATCACTCAATATGGGCCAGTCAGTATCAGCATTTCCCAACTGTTTTGTATAGAATGAGTGAGTGAGTGAGTTTAGCTTTATGCCGCACCCAGCATTATTCCAGCTATATGGCGGCGGTCTGTAAATAATCCAGTCTTGACCTGACAATTTGTATGGTTAGGTCCCATGCTGCCTACAGTTCCAAACTGCCTACAACCCAAACTGCCAACAAAAAACATTGTAGGCAGCGTGGGAAAAGATTTTTTGCCCTGTAGAATAATGGAACAGCCCGAGTATCAATGAAGAAGGGGAGCTTCGTTTGGAGTAAGGGATAATTAGGGGGATTATATTAGTATATATCTGTGCATCTACTCATGTGTATAGTATGTTTTTTTTTGAGTCTTCTCATCCAATAAAGACAACAAGACAAGTACAATGATATTGTTTTATTTTGTTTTGGGAAGCAGTTAGCATGCTCATATTGTAACCTCCAAAGCAGGATTAACTTCTTTATCAAGTTGGGTAGGCTTGTTTTAACTATGTTGTTACAGGCTTTGTCTGTCTTTGTCAGATTATGTCGAAAAACATGGTAAGGACTAAATTGTTGAGAAGATCTATTCTTCTCAGTTAATTAAACTCCTAATAAATTAGAAGGGGAACCAACTGCACCCATCACACAATGGCAAATGTTCAACGCGTTCAATTCATCAATTCAAGCAGGAGGGCAGCAAGTTTTCTTTGCTGGGTACCGATATCGCCTCAACGTCAGACGACAGACCACAACACATTGGAAGTGTGTACCTTCTGAATGCAAAGGCCGCTGTTCTACTACCGGAGACTTCATGAATTCAACAACACCGCACAACCATGTCCCAGTGGAATCTGAAGATGAGATTCGACTCCCTTAGCAGACTGCGTCAGCGTGTACAGGAGGACGTCACATCCATTCTGCAGGTGTACGATGAAGAGTTGTCCGAGGTTGCTGGCCCAGCGTCTGTACGATCGTTCTCGAGTGAACTTGCGCCTAGTGAAATCCACATAGACTTTGAGGTGTCAGCCATCAGGGCAGTGAAGGAAATCTATGATGATTGTGAAGTGCGTGGATGCTTCTTCCACTTCACTCAGGCTGTGTGGCGAAATGTGGCCCAGAAAGGACTGGCAAACGACTACAAGGACATCCCACAGGTGCAGACCCATGTCAGGAGAGCAGCTGCCCTTCCACTACTTCCACGGGACATGGTGCAGGGCACTTGGATCGCTGCCATGGACGAAGGCCCAGAGACAGAGAAGGTCAGGAACTTCAACGACTACGTCACGAGTACATGGGTGGACTATGAGGCACGTTTTCCGGTATGGATCTGGACGCAGTATGAAAAAATTGGCCCGCGGACTAACAACCACCTTGAGGGGTGACACCTGAAGCTAAAAAACCTTATCGCCAAAGCCCACCCAGACATCTACCTCTTCATCTGCAACATCAAGAAAATCGAAGCCGTAGACAAAGCTAAACGTGGTCAGCTCGACTGTGGTGCCCTTCCCAAGTCACGCAAGCGTGTTTACAGAGAGCTCGATGTGAGACTTCTGACACTGAAGGAACACCTCCAGAGCGGCAGACAAACGCCTTTTCAGTACCTTGATGCTGCTGGACATCTCATCAAGTTTGCAAAGTGATTGTCAGTTGTGTGTGAAAAGACTGTAAAACCACTGAAAGACTGTAAAACCTATCAGTTTTTCATGATAAATCCATGTCTCCATGTAAAGTCTGAGAATTCTCAGAATGAATAGAGATGTCCTACCAACCAACACTTGTCATTTTTTTAAACTTCTGTAGGCAGAGTGGGAAGACACCATAGAATTAACAACCTAAATAGTCAAGTTCATTTTAGCAGGGGTAGAACAGGTCGGATCGGTGTATTCACTTGCTGATCACTGGACCGTATCATTTTGTTTTAACCTGTAGGCAGTAGGGGAATACACCATTTGTATACAATAAATGTTCTATGGAAGTAAAATCTAGGCAGTTAAACTTAGTAGTGGCAAAGTAATAGTGTCTACACAAACCTGGTGATTCGTAATGTTGGCATTTTCATTCCTTTGGAACTGTTTTAAACTCGACAGTCTCCCAATCAGACATCAAATGTTCCCCACATGGGTACAATACGTGAAGACCGTTTCTGGTGTCCCCCGCTGGAATATTGCTAAACGTGGCGTAAAACCGCACCCACTCACACATTCAAAATGTTCACCAATAACAATCATTCCGTTCAAACATCATAATGGTTCACGAACGCATGATGGCAGCCAACATTATTTCATCATAGATCCAACATTTGTGCCTTGAAATGAGGATTTGTCATTAAATGCAGATTCAAGAGGCAAATAACGAACCAGCGCTCCGAATACAGGACGGGTTCACTACAGTCTTGTCACGTAGCTCCAGATTAAACATGAATGATAACAACACATTTACGATGAAGCAACCGAAATATATTCAGTCCCCAGATAGCCTGACTGGTTCAAATGAAGATAAAGATGTCGAGAACACTGATTCCCCTGGAGCAGGTGACCTGAAAGCTGAAACTGATCAACTTTAATCGATGGACATGTTTCTCTTTGATCGTGGAAACACTACAAAATTAACAAGTCATATGACCGAAAACGATGTATACAGTGGGGCAATACCTACTACGGAGAACCACGATGTCAGTACAGATGACGGCAACCAGGATGAAGAAAGCACGCCAGAGGATGACTTGTTTCATGGAGAAGATGTCAGGGGCGATACGGTTGAAGGGATGGTTGACAATGATATATATGAGAGTTCTGGATATGACACTACAGTTGCAGAGCAGATTGGTGAATGTGAGGATGTGTCTGTTTCAGCTACCCAAGATATCAGTACAGCAGTATCAGCTAAGGAGGAGGTTGGCATGTTGCCTAATGACCTCTACCACAGTTTCGTGTAAACAGTGCTTGCTCATTGCAGTTGATTATGCTTCCTTTCTGTGTCTGTCGATGACAATCCAGCCATCGCTGATGAGTTTGCTAACATCTTATGATGTCATATGGAGTTGTAATACATTACCTGTAAACGTATTATATCTGTTTTTTACATTTGTGTAAATCTACAGTTACGATTGGTTTGGTTTGGTTGTTGTTTAACGCCGCACTCAACGGTATTCCAGCTATATGAATAATATAAAAAATGCTCGAATAAATGCCCGAGTCTGGACCAGACAATCCAGTTATCAACAGCATGAACATCGTTCTACGCAATTCGGATACGATGACATGTATCAACCAAGTCAGCGAGCCTGACTACCCAACCCAGTTAGTCGCCTCTTACGACAACATGGGTTGCAGAAGACCAATTCGAACCCCGGAGCTTCACGCGTCCGTCATTTACGAGCTTTGTGACCATCACGGACACTGACTGGTATATGCAAGAACATTATGTAGAACATATATCTACAACTGTGATTATTACCTTTAAGATAAATTTGACTATCTGTTTAATCAATAGTCAAAGCATACCAAACCACGTAGGCGGATTTGCGTTCGTACACGCTATCATATCTATCACGTGACATACTACACGGGTGGAACGAATGACCTTGACCTTAGATTGAATGTGTCAGCCAAACGGCTGATCGCTTCGAAATTTTAGAGTTGGCGTATGCAGTTATGAGTATAAACAGAGTAATAAAATTGTTGTCATAATTTCTTATTTGTTTGGTTCAATAAATATATCCAAAAAGTAAAATGTTTCTGTATTCCACTTGTCGTTCAACAAAACCTCAAATTCGATAATTCTTATCATGGTTGGTTGGTTTTATAGTTTTAGTGCGACGTGGGCCAATAAGAGGCCTATTTGCGCCCAACACATTGACTTGATTTAATAAACAATAATTGGTAATTTCATCGCCAAAAGGAATCGTTTAGTTAAGATAAAAGAAACGACAACACTATAAATTTGGATAGATGTATACGTGTATCGAATAATCTCTGCTTTGTGTTACGGATTAAAAAAAGTAATCACTTCCATTTCTGAAACATGAAATACTCATTCATTAAAAAACAGAAGGTTCAGATGACAGAGTGTTAAAATGATTTAAAACCACAGAACTAAATCTGTCCAAGCCATTCGAGAGCCTGTCTAGATTACATCATATTTTCCAGATGACGAGACAAAAAATTCTGATCATAAAGTTATCATAAGTTGTGTCCCTTTATGACCGTTCAGGAAAAATCAGCTTTGCCTCTCATTCTGCCGATGATTGAATATTGTTGTTTAAAGTTAAGCTAAATAAAAAAGATCCTAAGGGTAATGAATACGTCACACGGTGTTTTGAAAGGATGTACAGGACTGTAGGACCCTGGTAAATTCCGTCTTTCCTTCGACTGCGCCTCAAGGGATACGGAATTTACAATGGTCTTACAGTCTCGTACACCTTTTCAAAACACCGTGTAAATAATAGTGTAGGTTTGACTGAGTGTTCTATGTGAATGAAGTGTTCTACATTGACCAGCGTTGTGTTGAAGAGTACCTTACCCCAGTACAACCTGATGCATGTATGCTTTGTTGTTCAAACAGTAGTTTCCATGCTTTTAAGGATCTTAGTATACAGGTCTAGATATATTGGAAGTAGGCTTGTTTCGTTTAGCATTAGTTTGCCGGTGTATGAAGAACTATTTCTGGACCATGGCATACGGTGTTACCCAGGAAACTCTGAGATGACTGGCTTCGTCTAAGAAATGAAGGGATTCTATAACATAGACGCTTTCAACAATGTGTGATTACGTAAATGATGGTTAGCGTGAATGTCAACCTTACAGTTTATGAAGACTTCAACAACCGTACTCATTGATTTCGTACGAATCTATAAACATGTATATTTGTCACGAAAATGCTGGAATATTAGGGAAAGCTGTTCATGAACATGAACATTTTCTCTATTCACTGTATTCTCTCACCAAATGCAAAATATATGTATGTGGATCTTGCTGCCTGTGATCTTGTAATAAACATTTTCTCCATGTACATTATTGATATCTATGCAACAGGAAGACGTCATATGTAGAACATCAGAACATTGAACCCTTTTCTGGAAGCTGATGCATATGATACATATACCGTGCTTATTTCACGCATAATGCAACAATGAAAGGATGAAAGAATTGCCAAACAAGACCCCAACGACAATATACATATTACATAGCCTACAAAATCAGTCTCGGTTCGAAAACACTTACACCAGCGCTTCATATATATGTAGATGCAATTCACACTTCCGATGCTAGCTGGTGTGTTAAGCAATGACGACCCAGCTACTGAACATCAACCCTTCTTTTAGTGCAGTCGGGATTACCACCTTAGTTACACATGCATCTCAACTGTCATTGCCATTTTGTCACAATAAGTGAATCATCGCTGGTTGATGAAGTGCAGGTTAGATCTTTGCAAATCCGACTCCAGTGGGTGAATCTACATTAATCATTGAGTAAGCCAGCCAGACATTTGTGATCCGTGTTGAGTAAAAAACTCTTTTTCTGTTAACAATCTAAATGCATTCCAGTTTCCTATTATTATTTAAACTTCAAGTTTTAGCTAAAAAGTAAACAAAGATCATCGTGATACACAACAACATATAATATAGCGCTTATTACAGACTGGCAAAGTCATATTCAGTCGGAATACAGGTTGAGACACCTAGAGAAAGATTATCATATAAATTACGATAACGTGTTCTTTTGCGTCTGTGAAAACATTTGCTCTGTTATCGTATACAGAATATTCCTGTATATAAGTTTTTCATCTGCCGTGGTGATGTACTTTAGTGACGGAAGGGGTTTGAATTATATTGCATTGTAAGGATGAAAGTGAAGCAGATAATTAGTAAACATAGATTTGGCTTGATGTTTCATACTTGCACACGTAGGATCACAAGCATCAATTCATACCATTTTACTTCAAAATGCATATGAAACGTCTCGCTTGTTGTCAGTGTTATATCATATGATCGTATTACAACCCATAATCTACACACTTCAATCGGTGCATCACGTGACAATTCTTTCAGATAGTGTTAAGCACAGGGACACACACACACACACACACACACACATATACACATATATAAACAAGCACACGTACGTAAGATATAAGATATGTTTCTTGTCTTTTACGTGTCATACTTAACATGGCGCAGACATTTCTAATGTTTCAAAAGCAGTATACCTTTGATAATATTTGTAAGCAGATTTGTATGATAATGGTTAAATATACATTGAACTCCTTAATTTCAGAAAGCAGCATTATCAGTCGTAACTTTACCCCCACCGGATCTCATTTTCCTGTCATGATCATGTTCTTCCGAATTTCCTAATTTTGTGTACGTACCTAAGTACACAACGTTAACAAACGATGATTCGCATGATCTATGTATACTACCCATCAAACCTTTAGGCTCACTAATGTAAATGTAGCCACTTACGTCGGTCAACTGTTCTAAACTAGATATTGCAAAATATTCCATACTGTTTATAGGTACACATGAACTGATGCAGTGTAAAACACATTTGTAAAGTTGAAAAGATTATTGTCATGAGTTCGATAAACGATGAAACTCAATGAATATTGGCGAATTCTCAACAAAACTTTACACCAAAACGTAGCTGTTGATATGCACGATATTGGCACATACACAATATTGGCACATGCACGATATTGGCACATGCTTTTCAGCAATTTGATGCAATTCATCTGCATAAGGTTTGCAGTTGGCTCACCCAATTCAGTAGAGAAATTCATCTTCGATGTAACCATGTACACACACACACACACACACACACACACACACACACACGCACGCACACGCACGCACGCACGCACGCACGCTCACACACAAACACACGCACACACATAAAACATATAGTAAGTGCTTTAAGTGAGTCCTAACTTTTGATGGGTGGTATTCATGAACAGTGTACATTCAGTCAGTGTCACAGGAATCCTTACAACATTAACGGATTTTACACGTATGCCAAAAAGTTTTCCCGATTATATATTTGCATTTTGATTTCAAAGGAAACTCTCATCAGAAATTATTGAGAATTTTGACCATCATTATTTACCACATGCAGGTGGAACGCATTCGAACTTTCGTTCAAGAGAGATAATGCTGTGTGTCATAGTTTGTAAAGAAAGTCCAGACCTGCCACCTTGGCAAACAAGTTAAGAGACGGCAAACAAGATCACACTGGAAATATGGGCGCACTGGTAGGAATCAGATCAGCACAGGTCATAACGGAGTGAACTGACATTCAAGTATGAAATGTGTACCTTTAACTTTGAGTGGCATTTTAGAAGCTGGGAAGTATAATATACCTGCTACACAACGGTACAAGCATCTGTATCGAAACATCGCACTCACGAAATAGGGGAAATGTTATCCATATAGTTTGTCGCCTGTGTTGATTTGTTGATCTAGCAGAAAAACGTAGACCAAAGGTACAGAAAAAGTGCCGGCATCGACTCTAAATTACAGGTGTGGTCAGACTATAGATATACAAAATTATGAATGCATACGAATCCGATGTAACTCCGAGATTGTGATATAATCAAGGACCTGACGCGTTTATGACGACATCAGCCACTAATGTATCTGGCACAGACACGGTTATTTCCAGGTAGCGTGATATAGGCCAGGTAGATAGAAGGTATGTACAGTTGTAAGCTCTGTAGCATCGATAGTTTGACGAATCACGCATACATTGTAACTATTCTTGTTGACCGTTGTTTACAATATCGATCAAATAATATCCAGCATTACTCGCCAGAACTCCAGGATTTCTCCCCACTCCTCCAATATTACTCCCCTGCCTCAAGGATTAGTCTCCACTCCTGAAGGATTACTCAACAAAGCCCAACCCACCCCACAGGATTACTCCCCACCCGCCATGATAACTCTCCATCTCTCCAGCAGTAACCCCACCCCACCAGGATAACTCATGACACTCTCTACCAACACTTTCACGAAGTTGTGGCTAACAAACCACTCGCACTTGATACATATAAAACAGCAGTTTATTGTCAATGCGGTTATATCATTTCCCTGTCTCGCGGCAGGTCCTTGCATTGTTTGCCACTGTGGCTACAAATACAGCACATACACTCCACACCTCTCAAACATTACTCCACACCTTTCAAACTATACTCCACACCTCTCACACATTACTCCACACCTCTCAAACATTACTCCACATCTCTCAAACATTACTCCACACCTCTCAAACATTACTCCACACCTCTCAAACTATACTCCACACCTCTCACACATTACTCCACACCTCTCAAACATTACTCCACACCTCTCACACATTACTCCACACCTCTCAAACATTACTCCACATCTCTCAAACATTACTCCACACCTCTCAAACATTACTCCACACCTCTCAAACATTACTCCACACCTCTCAAACTATACTCCACACCTCTCACACATTACTCCACACCCCTGCTCTTTTACTCTCTTTTACAAATGAGGAGCACTCTCTTCTCCGTCTTCCACGTAGTGATAGTTAGAAAACCTGTCACCTTCGATAAACTGAGCGTATGCATATAGAGCAGTTATTTTCAATGAATATATTCCACTTCCCTGTCTAGCAACCTATGATTGCATATAAACGTACCCATGACTGGTTTGGAATTACCAATGGAAGTTATTTGCAAACTGCAAACTCGTGTTTATGTTACTACTGGAAATATTCGTTGCTCGAATGTGTAGCTTTAACAGAGAAACAAGTTACTGAAACAAGAAAAGATGTATGGAGTATTGGAACATTTGGCGCTGGATGTGTAGACTTTCGAAGACGTTAAAACAGCCATGAAAATAGGACGAATAGTTGTTTGGACAGTGTTCACAGCTTATGAGTATTACATTATGTCCACAAGAGTCCACAAGATATGACATCTTGCGGTTGAAATAATGTATTTATGCAGTCACCATGTCGAATTATTGTTGCATGTGTCTTAAATATGTTAATGCGTCATTTCCTGAAATTATTTCTTTACAGCTCGTACATCAAAGCGGATAGAGTTTTACTTGCGACTGTATAGAATCTAAGAGTAATATCTTAAGCTGTATCATGCCAAGAATGTTTGACTGAACGATTCAGTTTATATTTAAAGGTTACACCAGAACTGGAAACAGATGTATAGAGGATTTATCGAAGGTCTTTACAATACACCTCGAGTGTCCTGCCGGTGAATGGAGAGCATTGAAGCCTGCATTGCTGCCCATGGTGACTTGACAAAATACTAACTGTCTTTGAATCTGGGAGTTATGTTCTGCTAATAATCACATTTAATACGTGAGTATTGAGTGAAAAAATAATAATACAATCTTAAATTCTCAATAATTTCTGTTTGTACCGTAAAACAATCAGGGCTACCATATACATTTCTATCTTCCTTGGAACTACATCTGATCGGAAAATCTCAAGTTGCAGCGTCCTTACAACCGCTACATCTACGCGTAGACATACTACTCACTCGATAGGGATTATAGCAACACATTGGCCTCCCATATCAACGACGATGGTATAAACAACAGGTCAACAACGAACACAAGTGAGTATACGCAATTACACGTATTTCATCACGGTGTGTATACACTACAATCCTCCATCGCCTGTAAATACACACAGCCATGAAGTAGTTTTGTAAATTAATGTCGATATGATGTCTACCATGATTAAGAACTACTGGTCAGAGGAGGTTTACTACAAACAACCAATGCATGACTGTTGTAACCATAATTGGGTCCTGAATATTCGTATCAAAATAGTTGGATTGTAAAGCATTTAAAAATCTGAAAGCGTGAACCAAGATGGCAATCAAACACATGGTGGTCGGAATCTGTAATATAAGCCGATCGGAAACGGTAATTTAAGCAACTGTTAGCTTGCAGTATTGTACATTCGAGTGTTCAGTGTGATGAGCATATTATGCACTTTCTGCTGATTTATACTTTCTCAGGACCATTACCATTACTAAGGTACACATTACTTGAATGAGCTGCATATGTACGATTATTAAACAATACGTGTACCTGTAATAAGTAAGTGCGTTCAACTTAAAAGTCACATCAGCAGTATTTCACACCATATCATCGATGGACAGAACAAAAACTAGATCATCACAGATGGTATGAAAAACTAATAGTATGTATGTGTATTAAAGTATTCTAAAGTCTTACCTTTTATTGTCAGTACAATATAATAACAGGCTAAAACATGTTAATGGCAAGCAGCCACATATAGTGTGGCCAGACACCCTACAACATGTATGATACCGCACCAGGATTTACACATTCCTTTCAGCTGTGGGCGATGGCTTTGGAGGATGTGCTAAATAAAATGAACAACTATTTTACGATAAAACAGTGGTAGATTTGATAATCTTTGAATATTATATTTGCTTGTTGTTTTACACCACACTCAGCAATATTTCAGCCGTATGGCGGCGGTGTGTAAATGATGGAGTCTGGACCAGACAATCCATTTATAAACAGAATGATCATCGATCTACGATGACGTTTGTCAACCACGTCAGCGAGCCTCTTATGACAAGGTTGAGCAGTGAACTGAAACATCAGAAGTTTGAAACATCAGACTGCACGCATTGTCTAAACCTATAACAATACACATATGTTTCAGGTAACTGTCGGGATATTGTTGTAGCCTTAGCTGTGGTGTGTGGTATTCTGGTGGTCATCATTGTAGTCCTCATCATATATTTGTAAGTACTCCATAATATTGTCTTTAATGCACATATCAGACCCAGTGTCACTTTGTTTCTGTACTGTCTGTTGTTGAACATGTGTTGTGTGTACATTATAACTATTTATCACTGCATCATGGTAGTGAAGCCATCCAGAAAGAAGCATGACACTTCATCGAATACTGGAACATCTGTTCATTATGGTGTGAAAAGCATTACCAGTAATGGACCCCCGATAGATAATGGTCTCTCGCACCTCAGTGACGCCACCAACA